CTTTAGTCTGAGGGTTCCTGCATTTTGGGTATGCTCCCCATCTACCACACAGCACGCCTTGACAGTATTTTCTGTTACTGAAGCGTGCAGAGGACTTAAGCCGTGAATTGATTACACACTGGATTATGAATTCAAATGATTTTCTTGTAAATCAGTAAACAGTCAATTTAATTTTCACCATTCAAATTTGTTCTGTTGGAGTTTTATTGGTAACTCATTGAAGTTTTATTGAGTATTCATAATCAGCCACTTTGCACATACAGTGAGAGAAAGGATTGGGTAAACTGAATCAGGCTAAATTAAATCAAGGTATCAGAACTGAGTGGACTCCTATTGATAAGAGAGTTAGAACAACTAAAAGAAAGTTTGATTAACCTGAAAGGTTAATAAAATTAAGAAATTAAGACATATATGTATGTAGACTTACTGGTCATTTAATCTAACTAATTTTAACTGATGCCCAATGCCGGTAAACTATCGTGTCCTAAATGTTATGCAGCTATCTGCCACTAGATGGTGAATCGATGTTGAGAAACCCCATAAATCTGTGAATCTTGGCCTATCCTTTTGTTACCACTATTAGTACAAGGTCACGGATACAAGCAGCGGAAATGACTTTTCTCTGAAAGGTGGATGGGCTGTTCCTTAGCGATAGGGTGATGAGTTTATTCATTTGGGAGGGGTTCAGCGTAGAGCCGCTACTCTTCCACATCGAAAGGATACGGCTAACACTGTCATCTCCTGGGTAAAGTCTTCAGACCAGGCATGTGTTAGCAGCCAGAGGCCACAACATAGACCCGGGTATGCTGGAGCGATTACATCTGTCAGCTGTCCTGGGAAACACTCGACATTTCCCTGGATAAGCTGGGGGAAGGGGCAAGAGGAAAGTTTGGGTTTCCCTGCTGCCACCACGACCTGACTGACAGATAAGCGGAAGAAAATAGCTCAATGTTTTATTGATTTGTTATGGTAAAATGGCCTGTATTTGTATAGCGCTTTACTAGTCCCTAAGGACCCCAAAGCGCTTTACACAACCAGTCATCCACCCATTCACACACACATTCACACACTAATGTGTTATGTTAGATTTTACCTTGTTCAAGTGGTTGTCATGAATTTTCAACAATCTGCATCATTAGTAATGCACAGCAAGTCGCGATTTATTCATCTTCCAGATGTTCTCATATTTTAGAAATACATGAACATATATTACATTTATATTTTTTCATATCATATATATAAGTATTTTTCTTCTTTGCTGTCTGGATCATAACATGTAATGTTGATAATGCACAATGCAAGGTGATGCACAGTTAATCAACATGATTCGTTATCGAAGAATGTCATAAGTGGCTTAAAACGCCTTTTTATTAGTTTTTGACTTTTTCCATTAAATGGTTTTGACATTTAACTAAATATTTTAGTGTTTCTTAGTTTTAGACTAGTCAATTAGTCTACTTTTTCCCCCTCATTTAATTGAGTAAGAATTTAGTCGCTTTCCTAGTGTGCAGATGGGAAGGTAATTATTACACTAATGCAAAAGTGCTATACCATTTGAAAAAAAATACAGCCCGCTGACATGACAATATAATCCACAGTTTGTATATTCAGTGCATGATTCCAAATGACTCATCATTGTGCACAAATGCCAATTAATGGCATGAAAGCCAAGTTTCATAAATGCCACCTTCTTGAATTAGATACATCGATCATAATCTCTCTCTCATCCTGCTCTTTGGCTGGATAATTGATGTCTCTCTCCTGGTTTGGTGTTCTCAGTGTGAGATCAGATATGCAACTTGGAGTTCTCTATAAGACGACTCGCTCAGTTAAAGTACTTTTCTGCATTTTTTTGAATAAAACAATTTGGTTAAGCCTCAACATACAGATGTAAAGAATTAAAACTTTGAGCGAGAAAATGTCTTATGCCTTTTTGTGCCATTTATTTTTCCCGTCTTCTCCTTTTCTTATTAAAATATAATTAATCATAAAATATAAAAAACACACCTTTATCAATTGTATTCTTGCTGTCATGTGGTATTTTCTGTTCGTAAATACCCATAATAAAACATAGCTGATTCCTAATATAGCTAAAATAATCTCTTTCCTTGCCTGGCTGCATCTGTTTAATGTTAAATTATGCAAATCAAATCAGAACATAGCACAGCAGATATGGAGCATAGCCCTGCTTGTCAGATTACTAAGGTACATGGTACAATGATTAGAAGTGATATTAGTGGATAATGTTTAGATTAGGTATTAATCTATATCTGCAGACATAACATGGCTGGATCCCTTCACACATAGAAGTAAAGGAAGAGGTTTTTTTGTATGAGTCTAGCTATCTCAGTGGAAGCAGAAAACCTTCAGTGTGTATTTTTTTCCTAAAAGGGTGGGAAAGAAATGTGTGGATTTCAATATAATAAACCCTAAAAAATATTTAAGGAGTGACAGACAGTCGTCAGTGTTCGCTTTGTGCATTATTGGATGTTATGGAGCATATTTGTTTAATTATGGCATTTAAATGTTCTATTTTATTATGCTTATGCTTACTAATCTCATGCTGTCGTTAGTAAATAAGTCATATTAATATTGTAATTTGCTTTGTATTAATAAGGTTTGCAGGACAGAACTGTGGGACCATTGACTTGCAGGGACATTGAAAACAGTGAGAATGTTAACAGGAGAAGAGAAGAGAGCTGATCCATAATTCATACAAACCCAAACAACAGCAAGACCAGAGAATTAATCGGTACAAGATGGAGGGTTTGTGACTCAAATGCAGAAAACAGATGCAACATGTTTTCCCCCACATCTCTACCATTCTACAGATATGTGAATGAAAGATAATAAAGGGCTTCTTCACCTAAGTATATTGAGTTTTATGCTGTTGAGTTATATTTTCTCTACAGGAAATCTCTGTTGGTTCCTTCAACTGATTAACATCACAATTTATTGCACAGGCTTAATGCACGAAGTATGTATGTGTGTGTGTGTGTGTGTGTGTGTGTGTGTGTGTGT